TTTCCAGAGACCTTACAATTTCATTCACTGTGTCTACTAATTTTAAAATAGAAAACGGGCTTTCATTTTGAATGGGAGAAATTGACATGAAACGCTTTATCTGGGCGAAAACCTGATCACGTTTATTGGAGTATCTCTCTTCTAAAAAATCCCAAGCAATTTTATAGTTACTGTCACAAATTGTGACTGATTGAATAATCCTAGCTGCTTCGCCATGAAACAATAACTTCAAATACGAGAGCTTTTGGGAATCCGATAATACATTAATTATTATTATGAATGCTTGAAATGAAAAGATCCCGAAAGCTTAACCAATCTTGAATATTTCCACTAAAAGATGGCAAGTTTAATTTAGGTAATTTCATACCTTGTGCACTGGTATTTTCTATCTTTACATTACTTGCATCTTTAGCACTAAATTTTGACATTTGCCGTTTAACCTTAACCCACAAAGTATCAATGCTGTCTTGAACAGTTTGCTGTTCAGTTACATATTTGTCAAACTCTTTTTCATCAACTACTTCAAATAATTTACCAAAAATCTCTAACCACTCATTATTAAATTTTGCACATTTATTTTCAAAAGGTTGTAACTGAAATTCATCACAAGTATTTTTTCGAAATCTGAAGTTGCTTTCGTTATACTTGACTTTCTTCTTAATTAAAAATGCTTCCATAATTAACGTTAATTAATAATACCGAACATATATGAGCAAATTCACTTACCTCCGTTTGAGGTAAACCGAAATTTCTAAATCCAAACACACACTAGTTTGTAATTATCTTGTCGAATGCGAAGTAACATATCACACTTTTTTATCAATTTAACACTTCACCTTTAAGCTTTTTAACCAGCACTTTATCCACAGGCACTAATCTTCCTACCGGGTTGCACGGACCACAATAATCGAGAATAAAAGCACTCATAAAATACAAACACTAGGATTTAATGGACTGTAGCTTTATTTCTTTTAACTTCTGTTGGGATGGACACTCTTGCCATCGCATAGGTGCAACTCCCAGCACGCAATCAAGAACAATAATGGCCGCTACCTAACCACGTTGCTGTTTTCTCTCATCCTGGTTGCCAGATCACTTCTGCCTTAACAGAACGCATTGTTTTTAAAACTCAATGTTCTTTCAAGAAGTGTAAATATGAAATTGAATGCATTCCTCTATTTTGAAACAAAAAGAAAAATACCGTATTTGACGGCATATAAGACTCACTGTCATATAAGACGCACCCTTATTTAGAAGGCCACATACAAGGGAAAAAAGTTTCAATAGTCCGCGCGACAACGCGGTATCACAATAACTTAAAATGTGGTTTCTTTTAGTTCTCACGTTTCGTAAAAGCCAAATAAACAATCATTGAATGCAATTACCAAACATATTTTTATTTAGGAAAATGAACAAACGGCAAGCTATTTTGAATATGATATGTAAATTTCAATAATGAATAAATGAATGAACGGCAAGCAATCAAACATAATACAAAGTAAAGCAGAAACAACAAAAAACACAGATTCAAGGAAAACGTTGCCTCTCATGAAATTAGACTTTAATCACTTTCAAAACCATAAAAATCCTTTTCACTATCATCATCATCGAAAACGAGAATATCGTCATCACTACTGTTTCCGTCATCGCTAGTATCACCTTCTTCAAATAATGCGTCGTCTTCTGTTCCGTCAAGAGCATTACTGATTCCGCACTTCTTAAAGGACTTAACAATTACTTCAGCCTTTACGTCCTCCCAAGATCTTTTTACCCACTCGCACACTTGTGAAATAGAGGGCCGCTTCATTCTACCTGAGGGTGTGAGGGCGTGATGTGGCTCTCCTATCCACTTGTTCCATCGTTCTCGCACTTTTTCCTTAAATGGCTTATTCACCGATACATCTAAAGGCTGCAATTGGCTAGTCAGTCCACCAGGAATGACAGCTATCTGGGGTTTTAATTCTCTCGCTTTATTCTTTATGGTTTCAGTTCGATGGGTGCTAAACCGATCCAAAACCAAAAGAAAGGGTTTTCTTCAAAGAGAGGTTCAAAAGAGGAGTCCACCAGGTCGTCCCGCCCATACGTTCTGTAACCACAGTTTCATTCCAGCTTCGTCCATCCAGCCTTTCGGATGAACGTGAACAATTACACCCGTTGGAAGTTTTTCTTTCGGATGAGTTTTTCTTTTGAATATGAAAAACGGCGGTAATTTTGAACGACATGTGTGTCGATACTGATACCGACACGTGTGTCGGCTGAGTCAAAGAATGTGTATGTAAAGAAGGAAAGGCTACATAGACGTAATGTGACCGTCGAACCTGTTCGTACTTCGACATCAGCTTCGAGCTTTGGCGCTTTTTGATGACAGATATTTCACGCATGCGCAAAATAATTATGGCAGATGTAGAAAAGTTATGTGTGTCTAGACCTTTTTCCGGGTTAAAAATAGCATTCAGTATTGAAAGTTAGCCTGTGTCCTTCACATATAAGACGCAGGTAACTTTTTTGAGACCAAATTTAGGAAGAAAAGTGCGTCTTATATGCCGTCAAATACGGTATTAGTTATAAATAAACGGACGTTTTAAAATTCCACCGCTTATTGGCGAAAACTGTAACCTTTAATTTTTTACTCGGGCAAGATTAACGGGCCCGGATGCAAATTCTTTCGTTAGCTGTAGCTAGATATTATTGAATGAGATGAATCTAAAGCAAAAGGATTTCGTGCTACTTTTTTTAAACTTAGAACTCGTGCTACTTTTTTAGCAAGAACTTCGTGCTACTTTTTTAAACTTACTTTTTTTAAACTTAGAACTTAGGCCATTTACAATTTCTTAATGACAAGAATAAAACCAGTAATAATTGGTATAATTCTTTACAAATTAAAACTGTTGCATAACGTTTAACCAACGCTTATATCGTTACCTAACCGCTCTGGAAAGGCAAAAATCATCTTATTACCTAAAATAATACTTGTTGAAATTTTTCTCCTATATCTGAATATTTTACTAATTACGAAGACTGTTCGCAGATATTTAGACGATTTTGCTTTGCTATTAAAAAACAATCATCTGCTTGGAAATTGTTTTAACTGTCACTATAATTTTAAAAGTATAATTGTCTGTTACTTGACAGTTTTGTTTTCATTTAGAATGGCGCTTTTAAAGAAGCAGTGGAGGGAAGGCTATATTTGCGCACTTTTATGAAGACATTTTTCGTATCTAAGTATTAAAAAAAGATATGAAAGCCATGGGTTTTCAATAGCTAAAGCTAAGATAAGTAATATTGTCAAACGAAAGAGAAAAAGTCAAAGTTTGGCTTCAAGGGGTAAAATTGTTCCAAGTACATATCCAAGGACGAAACGGAATGTTTCGAATGTTGAAAATGTAAGATCCTTTATGTTAAAAGATAATCCACCAAGTCAATGACAATCGCAAAATCATTAAAAATGCTCAGTGTCAACTGTAAACAAAGTAATTAATGCTGATTTTAGTCCACCGAATGACAAACACGCTGCAGAGTTCTTTGTGCGAAACATTTATCCGGACAAAAAATGAGAAAAAAGTGTTGTCATAATAGTTGAATCTTGGGTGTATTTAAATGACTGTAAGAAAAAGAGATCCATTTATTATCATCAAAGAGCAGAAAAATATCTTAAAACATGGTTCATAGAATCTAAAGAAAGGTTTTCAAAGGGATTTATGATTTTTGCCGGTTTTTCATATAACGGCAAATTAAAAACAAACCGATTGGAGCAAAATGTTAAGATCAACTCCACATATTATCAGGAACACATCTTCTACCCGGTTTCCAAATATGAAATACCTTCTCTTTAGCCACGGTGTCATCCATCAGTAGAAATGCTTCAAGACAAAGCAAGCAGCCACACGTCAAAATCCACTGTTTATTTCCTGGATAAAGTGGAACAAGAAACGGGTATCAAAGGCCGTACGAAATCATATCCCTAATAAATGTTCTGATGTATCACTCATTGAGTTTCGCCCTTCTAGACTTTTAAGAAGAGGATTGTCCAAACGTCGAATGACAATACTCATTGGTCTTCGATGTTATAATAAATGGTGTGTTGAATTAAAGGATTAGCAAATGTAAATCAAATGAATTGCTTACTTAGTTAATCGCGTTGTGTAGCAATAACCCATAATTACTTACTCACGTGCAGATTAAAATGTGTGATCTAGAAAGGAATATGAAATCGAAGTACTTACCCCAAAGTATGACAACTGTATGTTACCAAATCAATTATATTTTATTCTTCATCTTTGATATTGAAATGAGCATTAATATAAATAAAATTATCACCCAGACAGACGAATAAATTTGAACATCAAGCACGAGTGATGCGCATCACCATAATTAACGTTGCACTCAGAATAAAGTCAATCTTTCTTCATCGGCTCGAAACAAAGCCTTGGTGTAAAAGGAACAATCTCGCTAAAAGAATTTTCATGTGTGGCAGACAGCATCGAAGGAACAGCAAAGAAAAGCAGGAAAATGGCACATCGCATCGTCCAGGGAGAGGACAGACCGAAGCCCGTCCTACACCCTCGAACGCCAGCAGAAGAAGAACGAGAAACCGGTTGTTGCAATCTCTTTCGTTGTTGTCCTTGAGCGGTTGTGGATAGCACACCTGACGCTGAATAATGTGGAGGCTTGCCTGCACATTCGGAAAGCTGTTGAAGAGGAATGGTAAAGCTACCTCTTCTGATACTACAAAAGGCTTTATTTTTATTGTCTTTGAAATTACGAGGTAGGAAGATACTGAAGAATAAGGGGTTATCGAACAGAACATTTAAAACACAAAAGTTTTAGGTAAAATATTTCTGTAAATACAATGGAAAGTTGTGTAAAATGTATGTAGCCTCCGAGTATGATAAGTTTTGGTATTATTAACTATCTATTTAATTTCCAATTATATTTTATATACAAAATCTCTCACTTTATGAATGCTTCTAAATGCTCTTTTCTTTCCTTTTACAGGAATGATTTAAACACCTGCAGTGTTGCTTTCTTCAAAACATTTGAAAACTTCAAGAACGCATGCTTAAAGAAGGAATTATTATGCACTTCGTGAAAGTCTTTTGTAGAGCTTAACTCTTTAGCATCAAAATACATACGTGTATTGTTAGTGTTTTGGTGTTTATGTCAAACTTGAATAATCAGTGGTTTTAAAAATCTTTTGTTCCGTTTTACTGGACATGTTTCTAAGAATTCTGAGAAGTTAATCCGATCATTTCATAGAGTTACTACTAAAAGTATGCAAATATTAGCAATGCTCTTATTAATTATTCTTTAATTTTGTTTTATTTTGTTAAAACATTATGAGGAGTTTAGCAAGAATCGCAACCAGAAAGCAGTTTAGTAAATGACAACTTCAGTATACTCATAAACATTTTTAAGAGTTTCAGAAAGTCAGCGTGCGAAAGAATATCATAGCTTGCAGTTCTATCTTAACAGAACTTAAAATTACATTTTACTTTTAAACATATCACATTATTTTGCTGACACTGTAGTCGTGTTGCTTATATTCAGAAAAAAAAAATCGTAAAGCAAGTTTTTCGTAATGAATTTTCAAGAGACTGATGTTAAAGAATTGACCAATCACGACCATGAAGGTACGAGTAAGTACAATTTATTTTTATATAATTCAAATATTTTATTAAATAGGAAAAAGAAATATCTTTTATAATTAAGCTTTTATGTTAAAACGTTGATGTGTTTCGTACCGGATTCAATATGCCCAAAGAAATACTTTATTTTTAGGCAATAGGAAATACTTACAAGTAAATCTTCCGATTTAGAAATGAAAATTAATGTCTGGCATAAGTCCTCGTTTTTTTTTTTTTTTTTTTTTTTTTTTTTTTTTTCTACTGCATGGCACTCTCTCGATAAAATTCCCAATAACTTTCTCACATATCTGCCTACCTAGGTGACTAATGATGCGTTCAATTTCCACTTTATTTTTTTTCTTACTCTTTAAGTTCGGATTCTTCGGGACTTACTATAATAGCGCCATGAAAATTAGCGATGGCTCTACAAATGAGCTGTATCCAGAGAGTTGTGATTTAATGCCGGCTGACCGAACCTGTGTCCTCAAATTTTTTTTATTAATCTGCGATTTCTTGATCCATTAGGTTCATTTTCACCTCCAAAGATTGCACATTTAGGTTTAGGACTTTTCGCCGTAGCCATTTGGCCGCCGCCATTTCACTGACAGGACAGTCCGTCAGCAGCTGATTCACCTTCGGCCATTTCGCCATCAAGTAAAAGTGAAATACGTAATAAAGGTTGCTTATAATAAGTACATAATTCTTTAAAAATATGGGATGTAAAGACATTACACATAGCTAGTTAGGAAATTATATCAGTATCAAATAAAACAAAATTATCACATTTCATAATTTCGTAATCAATATAACTGTTATGAAGCCCTTTCCTTTCAATTCTTGTTTTCCACTTACCACTCCTTACAAGAATGCGTTTTTAGAAGCGCGTTCAATGCAAATCAGTTATGAGCAGTATTTAAAGAAAGCTCTACTTACTTCGAAAGTGAGAATTTTTAGGAGTCCTTAGTGGTCCTTCTGGGTATTTCATTCTTTAATCTATTACGTTCGGCCTTTGTGTACATGCTTTTTGATAATCGCCGGCTAGTTTAAATTAAGAGTCAACTAAGTTAGGTATTGGTGTCTAGCTTCGGCTAAGTCTATTTCAGTTAGCATTAGTTTAGTTTCTTATTTTCTTATCCTGACTTAATCTGGTCCATTTTACAGGAACGCCCGAGTGGGGCTTTCCTGTAAGCCCCAGAAGGGGTCATCTGTTATCATTTTTGTGAGTGAATTAAAGAGTATTTTAACCCTTCTCGTGTCTTCGAAATGAGCAATCGCCTTCGCCGGAATCGAACCGCGGACCTCTCAATTAAGCGCTGAGCGTGCAGACCACTACACCACGAAGGCTCGTTAAGAAGGCTGAAGAAATACCTTATAAACAAAACATCTGGTTCTTTTAAGGCAAACGTTTACAAAGATGTTTTTTCATAACTTTTTTAGAGCAAATGTTCGCATGCTGTTTGTTTTAAAATGCTTGCAAGAAATCGAGTATTAATCTAAAATCAAAAACAAAATTTTTAAAGTATATGAAAACTGTGCTCATGAAATAGTATCTTAAAAATGGTCGATTTATGTTTAAGTCTTAAAAGAATTTTCTTTTATTATGAACGTTATATTATATTAGGTTTAACTGTAATAGTATGCATTATTTTGTTATTGTACATTATATTTATAATTATATTATATTTCATCTCAGTTATGAATGCTTTTAGTTGCTGATTAGAATTATCACAAAATTGTTTTAAACTAAATATGATGTGGCGAGGTATAATACAAGCATTTAACCCTTTCCGGCACGCTACCTTTTAAAGTCGGAGTTTTGAAAAAAAAAAAAAAAAAAAAAAAAAAAAAAAAAAAAGTAGGCAGTCTAATTAGGCCTAGAGGAGTACACAAGTAAAATTTTGTGAAAATAGCACTTATCGTTTTAATTCTGTGGGTGTGCCCAAAGTGGCACACTGATTAAATAGAGCTTCGAAAAGAGAGCTGAAACGGGCATTGTTGTCAATGAACTGACCGATGAGATGCGGAGAAACAAAGAATACAGACTCTCAGTTGCCCAGTCTGGGCACACCTAGGGTTCGCCGTTTGATTTTAGGCAATATTTCAAGGTAAAAATTTAAAACTAATATAGAATAAGGAGATTAGCATACAGCCAAAAAAATAACATAGCATAAGGAGATTAGCATACAACCAAAACAAATAACATAGAAATTTCTTTTCAAACAATGCTTTTTATACCTTAAAAAAATCTGGAAGATTTCTGTGAAAAATGAGGATCTTAAAAAACTAAACATGGCTAAAATATGTGGGCTGGTTTGTGTCGAGCTGCCATCCACTATAAATAAAGATGGTTCAGAGTAACTTATAGTAACCTATAAATCATTTTTCATTCAATTTTTCTGTGCGTACAGAAGGAAATTTTTAAGTGTGTCTAGACCGGACACACCGTGTCGCAAAGGGTTAAGGAAAAATATGTCTTGGCGTTGGATCGGTCCGACGGCAAAATGGCATAACGTCTAAATGGCGACGTCGAATAGTCCATTCCGACTGCAATATAGCTTCCTAATAGTCTGGACATAACACTTGCCATTCTTGAAATGAATTTTCACAATCAAAACTCGCTGTTCCTTTGTAGAGTGCTTCAAGCTGATTAAGCCCCAGCGAAGCTGCAAAATGAACTGGCAATCATAAAATACCAATCTTTCCAGGACAAATCAAACTCGTTATTCTTAAATGAGAACACCTGCCTTCTGCAAATATCTAAATATACTTTTCTAAAAATAAAGAACTTTTTATGGATGTATTAAATCCAGTACTTTCGTTGGTATAACCTACATAGACAGCTGGTGTTTTAAAGGACGTAATTTATTTATGAAAAGTATTCACTGAGTATACATATAACTGAAGGATGCAATTTAGGAAACTTTCAAAATCATCATCTTATTGATATTTCTGTTGTTCAATAAGGAGGGTTAACAGTCTTGTATAAAATGTGCTCGATATTATGAGGTTCATAAAAGATACACCGAAGTGAACGGACATGGTTTAAAATATTTTGCTCAAATATATGGTGTGGAGTTTTAATGATATGTATCAAAATTGTATTCGTAAATTAGTAGAAATTAAAGTAGGAAGTTTTGAGGTGTACGACTTTGGTAAGGTTAATAGATACCTTTGATTCCAAGCAAAAGAGTGCCAAAACCAACGACTTAATTTCCGAACAACCGTTCATACCCTGAGTTTGTTCAAAAAGCTTTACTACGTTCGCTATGTGTATCTCATAGCAATATTCGTCAGATGAGAGCTGTAAATCCTATCAAATAAACAATAAGAGTACAAAAAATATATTTTAAATACAGTGCATAATAAATAAAAAAGTATAAAGAAATAACGAATTACTTAACTATACGGTACGTACCTTGGATTGTCATTTTTGAGGCATATATGGTTGGAGTGAGGATGAGTCTGGCAGATCTTTACAAGGGAGAAGATAATTCTATGTCTGAATTGCCCTCTGAAAGCTTATCGAGACGGAAAGCGAACATTTGTGATGAGAGAGCTCTTTGAGACGCGAAAGGATTTTCTGTATTAAAGCCAGCAACACCGACTTTTGATGCATCTTTCTTTACAGTACAAGTGTCCATACTTGTCTGAATAGGTTAATTTTTCCCCGTCATAAATAAGATAAGCTGAATGGCATCAGATTTTAGCAGACCTGGAGGAATTTATGTCTTGGTTGTCCGAAGAAATATGCTTGAAACTCTTTTCGTTAAGAAAGACATTTCACTCTTTGAGAACAATTTTTTCGTATTTGCGAAGATTCGTAAGATGGAGAGAATCTCAATTTTTAGAAAAAATTCGTATGATATATTTTTTGATACTGATGTTATCAAGGTTTTGATTGGTCATAGGAATTTCCCTGTTTACATTTACTGCTTTGTAAATGAATGTAACCATTGAAAAGTTACAGGTGATTGCCGAACTTCCTGGAGGCATGTCTATTAATTTAATTAACTAGAGATAAATATCTTATAGATGTAGTAAAGAATGCTTTTGTAGTTTATAGAATTCAATTATTTCAATTATTTTGTAGAAATCTAAATTTTGTGTAAATGATAATCACGAACTATGAGGTAATAATATGTAAAGGATATTAATTTAGAAGTCAAACAACAAAAATTAGCGCAAATTTTCACACGACTAGTTTCGATGTAAAAGAAGGTTTTCGAATTTAAATGCAAGGGTGTTTTTAGGACGGTTAACCACTTTCTAAGACTTTTGAATATGAATTAGCGAATTCTGAATATGAATTAGCGAGTTCCAGATGAAGCTTATATAGCTCATGTTCAATTTTGGTTAACTGTTCACGTGTATCCCTTATGATGGACCGAAGAAGGCAAGTCTGCAGTTCACGAAAATTCTTGAAACGCGAATGGAAGATTTTTGATTAAATTAAATTTGAAAGAAATTGGGGATCAATTTTTTACGTTTACACTTTAGTAAAAAGTCAAAGTAATTCAGAAATTTCTGCCGTTTCACGCGTAATTTAGAGAAATGATTAATGGATGAAGGCATAATAAACTATGCAGAAAAATCAAACAAAATTAACTAACCAATAATAAAATTCCAAACATTAGAAAATATTCACACTGAAAATGATTACGAAACAAAACATTTGCAACTAAAAAGCTTGAAATCAAATAAGCAAAGCACAATATCAAATAAGAAAAATTAAAATGTGTAAAACGTAAATAAAACTTAAAAAATTGGAAAAACACTTACCGAAACTCATGCAATCAGAAAATGGCGAACACACCACGAGGAAAAAAGGAAGCAAAAACCTAAGCCTGTTTGGGAGTCCTATGATAAGATAAAATAACAGGCCGAACAAGTATTATTAATTTAGACGTCAAACAACAAAAATGAGCGTTATATTTCCAAATGCATTTTAGCAGCTGAGGATTGATGATTCAGTAAAACCGTCAAAACTAGTCCTTTGAAAATTTGCAAATAAA